TGGGAACACTCTGGGAACGCTCTGGGAACACTCTGGGAATGCTCTGGGAACACTCTGGGAATGCTCTGGGAACACTTTGGGAACATTCTGGGAAAACTCTGGGAGCACTCTGGGAACGCTCTGGGAATGCTCTGGGAAAACTCTGGGAGCACTCTGGGAACGCTCTGGGAACACTCTGGGAATGCTCTGGGAACACTCTGGGAATGCTCTGGGAACACTTTGGGAACATTCTGGGAAAACTCTGGGAGCACTCTGGGAACGCTCTGGGAATGCTCTGGGAAAACTCTGGGAGCACTCTGGGAACGCTCTGGGAACACTCTGGGAATGCTCTGGGAACACTCTGGGAACGCTCTGGGAACACTCTGGGAACGCTCTGGGAACGCTCTGGGAACACTCTGGGAACGCTCTGGGAACGCTCTGGGAACACTCTGGGAATGCTCTGGGAACACTTTGGGAACACTTTGGGAAGGCTCTGGGAACACTCCGGGAACACTTTGGGAACACTCCGGGAACACTTTGGGAAGGCTCTGGCAGCACTCCGGGAACACTCTGGGGACGCTTTGGGAACACTGGGAATGCTTTGGGAACACTCCGAGAACACTTTGGGAACGCTCTGGGAATGCACCGGGAACACTTTGGGAACTGGGCGGAAGAAAAGAACAATAAGAAAGAATAGAGACGAAGTTCATCATCAGCGAAAGTGTCGTTATCGGCAGCACATTGGCCCTGTGACCGGCTAATGAGGCAATAACTCCATTTACCGGATAGGCGGCTGATAATCGGCAGTGACACAAAGGTGACAATCATTATATTAATCTGCCTCGGGGCTGCCAATTATTAACAGCAGGATATGGACGGTTTCAAGGATCCTCCTCTCCTCCTTATAAAAATTGCCTCTCCGGGCGCCCCGGTTTTTGCCGCAGTCATGGTGAGCCGGGCGCTGGTCTCCTCCGGGTGGCTCTCTGGAGCACTGAAAACCAAAAAGTCTCCATCGCTGCAGGTCCTGGACACCACTTGGTACTCTCCGGGGGGGAAGGATGCCGGGAAGGAGTTTGCGGAGAGACACATCCCGGGCGCCATGTTCTTCGACCTGGAGGAGTGCAGAGACACGGCGTCGCCGTACGAGATGATGCTGCCCAGCCAGTCGCAGTTTGCCGATTACGTCGGCGGTCTCGGCATCACCAACCAGAGCCACGTGGTGATCTACGACTCTGATAACATGGGCATGATGTACGCCCCCCGGCTCTGGTGGATGTTCCGTGTCTTTGGCCACAACAACGTGTCGGTGCTGGACGGCGGATTGGTGAACTGGGTGAAGCTCGGGCTGCCCGTCACCTCGGAAATCACCGCCGCCGAGCCACGGAAGTTCACCGCCGCCCTGAACTCCTCTCTGCTGAAGACTTTCGAAGACGTTGAGGAGAATCTGAGCACCAAGAAGTTCCAGCTGGTGGACGCCCGAGGAGAGGGAAGGTTCTGGGGCCCGGAGCCCAAACCGGGAGAAGGTGAGGAGGCGGAGCCCGAGGAGAGTCTAACTCTGAGGAGAGCGGAGCAAGGGCCAGGAGAAGACAGCTCAGCACAGGGATGGTGGGGGCCCCTCATAATGGGCACAGCGGGTGTACAGAGCCGGGAACTCAGCACAGGGATGGTGGGGGCCCCTCATAATGGGCACAGCGGGTGTACAGACCCGGGAACTCAGCACAGGGATGGTGGGGGCCCCTCATAATGGGCACAGACCCGGGAACTCAGCACAGGGATGGTGGGGGCCCCTCATAATGGGCGCTGTTCTTATTCTGTATGTATGGACTCAGTATGACTTCTCTGGCTGTGTAACGTGTACATGGAGATACAATGGAATGACCGTTCATATTATGAGCGATGTGACGTTATCGGAATATTACAGACGGAGGGAAATGTCCGGATTATAATACATTGGGGGGTGGG